TATAAGAGATACCGAAATTTGCTCAAAATCACTTTTGATCAAAACTGAATTGCTGTTACAAATAAATCTTAAAGCAGGATACTTTTTCAATCGTGGATTATACGGGTCCCTTTAAAACTATTATAAAGCACTTGAAAAGTTCAAATAGCAACAACTATTTCAAACCCTGGTTATCTGATTTTCTGATTGTGAGACATGAAAATACAATAATGAGGAGATAATAAAATTTGATAACTGCTTTCAGGAAATTTTGTTACAGATTAATTTCGCAAAAAAAAAACTTCAAGACTAATATAACACTCATGCTGTTTTTAGTTCCAACTTATTAATTTTCTGAGAACTTGTGAACTTTTTGAAAAATTGGAAAATTAAGAAAATTACTTTGAAATATTTCGCAAAACACTTTGAAGTACAGTTGCTGATGATATTTGTAAGATCAGAGAAATCGAAAAATTGTCGGTTCAGTGAATAGCTCAAACTATTTTCCAGTTTCAGCAAGATGATGATACATAATTTTTTTAACTGATTAGTCGGAACCTGACATTTTTAAATTATTTTTTCCAGTTTCATTAAGTTTATCATTCAAAAATTCGAACAACAATTCTCTGAATAATTCGACAATCATTTACAACTATAACAAAACAGTAAAGATGTTTGATCAGCTACAGTAATCCTTATAATTCATCACCATGATTCGTCACGACCACATTTTCCAGTTTCCTAAATAAATTTATGACCCATCATAAAATGGAAAAACATAAATTGTCCATTTTTCCAAAAACAAACTAATCAAGTTCTTTTTCTATTCAAAACATTTTCTTGAAAGTCGATTTATATGTATCGTTTCCGCAAAAACCTATTCATCTCATTAATCATTTTGTGATACTATCAATTCCTTTTCTTATCATCATTATCAACTGGCTTCCCCCCTCCTATCTCTATCTTCTTTTCATTTTTGCCCCCTTTTGTGTTTGTACAAAAATGATTAATTACAGTTTGTCAAGTCCGATCATCAAATGCTATCAATCAAGCCGTTAGAATAACATTGATGTCGATAAGTGAGAAAAAAGAAGATGGAAAGATGAGAAAAGATTGATAAGGAGGAGAATACAGGTATGAAATGAAGAGAAGAAAAAGAAGAAATTGACCAAGAAGGTGTGATATTGAACTTGATAGGTCAATTAATATAAGGTGTCGAAAAAAGGAAGAAAGAAAAAGAAGGGGAGTGAAGGGATTTCGAAGTAGTTGAAAAATTGAACTTGTGCCATGCTTTATGTGAAGAGAGTACAGTAGCCACAACAGGTGGAACCACTGATGAAGGATTATCTTAAAAACGTTGATTTTGCTGTTCATGTTTCATGTGATGTACTTTTCAACTAAATGATTAGAAACTGACAATTTGAATTGTTGAAGATCTAAATGGGGGGCTCAACAATTTACCATACACTTCTACGATTCAACAAGTTAGTTAATATTTTAAACCTTCAAACTTTTTTATTTTCGACCGTATGCATCAGCTAGCAAGATTTTCACAGTACCATACAGTTTTGATAGCTAACTTTGGTTTTTGAATTTTATTGAGAGGTACGTGGAAGGACTGACAAATAACAAATACATAGTAATTGAAGTATTTCAAAAAATAGGTATTTAATACATTTCAAGTTTATAGACATGTTTCTTAAAAATCTTTCTCGATTTCATGAGATTATTGCAAAAATCGATATAATGATTTTGAAGTAGGGTGACATTAAAAATACATTTTTTTTTCAAAATTTGTTCATATGTGCTTCTCGGAGTTGAACTTGAGGACCCAACGGTTTTGGTCTAGCAATTTTAAGCAAGGGCATACAATATAATCAGTAAACAACTCAAACTGTTTTCCAATTTCCACAAAATTTTGAAACATGAAATTTCTTAAAAGTCGGTTGAAAATAATGCCGAACGAACGGCCAGATATCTAATACTGGAAAATAAAAATTGCAGTTTCAATAAACGAATAAATTAAGGTGTAGTTTACAAAGACAGTGATCAGAGATTCACGGACAGTGAAATACAGTGCGTTTCACATTTATACGGTCACCCTAATTTTGGAGTATAACGTTAGAACCGATGAAAATAGGTATTCGGTAATTAAAAAATCGGATTCAGGACCTCAAAATACATAGGCTTGACAATTTTCATAATGATACCAACAAAACTGGCAAAATTAGTCTCCTTTGACTGAAAAATGGCTCTCTGCAAGCGTTTCATATTTATACGGTCACCTCGGCTTGACTTAAACTGAAGAACATTTGGAATGGTGGTCCTGAACTGATATTCTGTTCCGAATCGGACCATTCGGCACCGATCGCATTCCTGAGAACCCCACCGGTTCTGTACTTTCTGCAATGGTGTTAAATACTCAAATGGCACGTTCTCCACAAAATTCCGATCCGAAGAGATGACTAGCCATAGCAAAACTTTGATTTTTAAGGGTCGGAACCATGCTAAATGGATCAGCTGAGGCGACGGAAGCGGTTCTCCTTCTGGAAAAGGAACTTACGGTGATGGGATCGACAACGGAAATGGAGGACATGATTCTCGTACACTTATTGATAATTCCCGAAGTTCATACGACCAAGGGCAAGTGTCATTCTGAGATATCCCGCCACAGAAAAAGCACACCACTCCAGAAGACTGTTTTCTCCGAAAGTATGCTAAATTTGAGAATCCAAAACATTTGATTTTTTACAAAACATATGTTGGGATGACAAAAATCAATTTGGACAAACGATAGCCATTTTTAAATGATCTGCGCAAAGATCCAATCCAAATCTCATAATAAAACAGGGTGGAGACAGTTTTCTGATGTCGTGTGCTTTCACTCCGGCGGGATACCTCAGGATGACACATGCCTCCTGGTCGTATGAACTTCGGGGATTATCAAAAAGTGTAAGAGGATCATATCCTCCATTTCCGTTGTCGATCCCATCACCGTAAGTTCATTTTCCAGAAAGAGAGTCGCTTCCGTCGCCTCAGCTGATCCATTTAGCATGGTTCCAACCCTTAAAAATCAAAGTTTTGCTATGGCTAGTCATCTCTTCGGATCGGAATTTTGTGGAGAACGTGCCATTTGAGTATTTAACACCATTGCAGAAAGTACAGAACCGGCAGGGTGCTCAGGAATGCAGAAGATCAGTTTAGGACCACTATTCTAAATTTTCTTCAGTTTAAGTCAAACCGAGGTGACCGTATAAATATGAAACGCTTGCAGAGAGCCATTTTTCAGTCAAAGGAGCTTAATTTTGCCAGTTTTGTTGGTATCATTATGAAAATTGTCAAGCCTATGTATTTTGAGGTCCTGAATCCGATTTTTTAATTACCGAATACCTATTTTCATCGGTTCTAACGTTATACTCCAAAATTAGGGTGACCGTATAAATGTGAAACGCACTGTATGTTGTTTGGACAACGGACAACTGACAAAGCTTTACTAAATCAACGAGTATTTTCTAAAAAAACATGACCAGAACTCATCTATCTTCCTTAACTGCCCTTTCAAACGAAACAATTCAATTTGAATTTTCTGATAAACAGACGGAGAGAACAAATTTTCAAACGAACAACGGACACGGACGGCGGACAATTTTTTCTCGGACAACGGACAACGGACATCCAACAATGATCGAACAACGGACTGTCCGTGCATCTCTGGTTTGGATATTGGCACTTCGCACCGAAAAACAACCAAAAGCTTTCCGTACCCCCATTTGTTTTATGAATAAAAGTGCTTGGGAAGATCAATTTTTAAAAACTGTTTCACCTTCCTGACAAAATTGTGTTATAGTTCAATCAGGAAATGTGAATTTCCAATTCTTTACAGAGCCAAGAAGAGATAATACACTTCTAATAATACTAGGTATGGAAATTGCCGTGTTCAGATTTTGTTTGAAATTTTCATATTGCTGAATTCTGTATCTTTAGGTTTTGTAATTTCGAATTCGAATAAGAAGATCAAAGTTTTTTTAATGTTTCTGTTTCACATTCCAGACGAAATTGTGGTGTTTATCAAATTTCGATGGTAAGTTCTTTAATTATAATTTCAAAAAAAGTCTGTTTAGCGGTTTTGGAACTCTACCCTTCCGTTTTAATTATATAAGTGCAATGAGAACATTTTAATTTTTAAAGGGGGACTCCGACCAAATTTTTATTGCATTAAAATGTGTTAAAAATTATCTATTTTTCGAATATTATTGCGAAAAAATTCAAAAAAAAATCCGAAATTCCCGAAAAACCCCCAAAAAAGTTGCACCCACTAAATGTGAAGCTATCTCTTTCTCTCATAAAGACGTCTTAATAACACTAACAATCATTTTTCAATTAACGACGAGAGATTGCCAACTGTTCAGAGGATTCGTGATTTGGGAGTCATTCTCAATTCGTCACTGACCTTCTCTGACCACTTCGCTACCACACTCCGGAAAGCACACCAACGAATTACCATTTTCTTTAATGTTCTCCGCCGGTCTAAAATGGATATTTTCGTAAAATGTTTTGTCATCTACATTCGCCCCATTCTTGAGTATGGTACAATTGTTTTCTCTCCCGTCCTCAAGGAGCAAATCAAGCTTCTTGAAGGCGTTCAAAAGTCATTCCTGTTCCGATGTTACAAGAAGTTCAACTATCCCTATATATCCTACTTTGATTTTGACAATCAGTACAATAAGTAATTATTTGTGACCGTGTAGCTCCGCCGGTAAATCTCATTGCGCTGCCTTCAAGTACGAAAAGCCCATGAAAAACTAACATCATGTTTCATACTGTTTATATTGAAATGAATAAATCTTGTTCCTATTTTCTATTTTCCAATTTCTTGAAACTAGTATAATTCAAAAGAAGAGGAAGTGCTTATTTTTTGCAGAAATATAGAGATAGATAAAACAAGAGAAAATCCCAAACTTTATATTATATTTTTCCAATATAAAAACACTCGCTGATGACATGGAGATCATCATCCCATCATGCAAACTCTTCTCATCTTGGCCGTTTTCTGTGCTGGAGCCTATGCCAACTTCGGAGAAGGAGGAAAGCAAGCCATCGTCAATCATCACAATAATGTTCGTTCCAAGATCGCCAAAGGACAGTATGTGGCGAGAGGGACTTGAAAGGAGAGCGGAACCAATATGATGAAAATGGTAAGAGAACGGATTAATGGTGGCCCACCATTGGTGGGGCAACAGTGGGCCAACGGCGGGCTAATGAAAGCTATTGGCGGGCCAATGGCGGGCCAACGGCAAGCTAACGGCGGGCCAGCGGCTGGCAAGCTAACGGCATGCTCCGGCTTGCCAACGGCGGGCCAACTGTGAGCCAACTGTGGGCTAACGACTAGCTAACGGCAAGCTAAGGGTAAGTTAACAGTGGTCCAATGGCGGGCCACCAGTGGACACCAGCGGACCAACGGCGGTGCAATGGTGGGCCTCGTCATAGTTAGCTGATATTAGGCTTCCTGTCTGTTCGGCTGCTTCAAGACTTGTAACTTTTTGTATAGGAAACTTAGAGCTTTCTAAATTATACCATCTTGTAGTACTTGTTAACTTCTATCAGCTTATTTTTTCCCAACACCAAACGCAAACCAGAATTATTTCCAGAAATGGGATGGATCCCTCGAATCCTCCGCCCAAGGATACGCTAACACCTGCCCAACTGGACACTCCACAATCCCATCCATCGGAGAGAACCTCTACTACTACTGGTCTGGATCCGCCATCTCTAACCTCGACCAATTCGGAGGAATGGCATCGGCTGCCTGGGAATCTGAATTCCAGGATTTCGGATGGGGGTCCAACAAGTTCACCATGTCTCTCGCCAACACTGGAATCGGACACGCCACTCAAATGGCATGGGCATTGACTGACAAGATTGGATGTGGAATCAAAATGTGTGGACCTGATGCGTCGAAGGGGGGAATGAATCGAGTCGCTGTTGTATGTCATTATAAGATTCAGTATGTCTTAATATTTTTTAACCAATTATCGATGTTTATTTCAGAGGAAACTATTTGTTTAAGACCATCTACAACTCGGGAGCCACCTGCTCTGCATGCCCATCTGGTACCCGGTGCGAACAATCTTCGGGACTTTGTGCTTAAATATATTTTTTGGTCTTTATTTCGGTGGGTTTTTCTAAATAAATACATTTTCGCGAAAATTTTGTGCGGTTCCAAGCATATGGTTTTCAGAGAGTCTTGTATTTTGAGATCAGTATTTGCAATACTATTGATGAAATACGGATTTTTGAATTTTGAGAATTTTGATTCTAAACATTAAAATGCTTCTTTTTGATATCGAATTTCCAATTTTAAGGATTTTTTCTCAGTTTTCAGTTTGAACTTTTCATGAATTTATCAGATTTCTGCAAGAGAAGTTTTTGTACTGTTTCAAAACATTATTAGTTTGCTTCAGATTTTTGCAATAGGTTCGTTTTCTAACGGAATCTAAAATTTATAACCAAAAAAATTTGTTGAAATTGCAACAATACCACCAAACACAAAAAAAAGAGAATTTGTCATTTTTGAATTAATCATAACTTCTTTTCTTTTCCACTCTTCTATCCACACACTACCTAGCTCTCTTTTGTTGATCAGCCAACAATAACCGATGAGAAAATGCAATTGTTATGACCATGTATAAAAGTAATCGCTCGGAACTGGTTTTGGTATAAAAATCATCAGTTTAAAAAATTATGAAGTTCTTCATTCTTGTCGCCTCGTTTTTGGTGATCCTTGTGGCTGGAGCGCCAACGTCGACTTCGGATACTACGGAAAACTTGGTGACACAAAATGTAAAAAACTGCGAAGAAAAAAAGTCTACTGAAAATGAAAAAGCAGTTATTTTCTTCAAAACTTGTACGGTGAGTAGAAAATCGAGAGTGTGCATTTCTGCGTGACGGTGTACAGCGGTGAGCAAATGTCAGTCAGATGCGAGCCTGTAGATCAGTCGCTAGGTGCCCGGCACCTTTTTTGAGTGAAAAAGAGAAAACAGTTTATTTTCTGATGAGGTCGTAAAGTCTAAAACGTCTAACTTTTCAAAAAAAAAAGAGTCAGAATCAAAGACAAATGTTTCAGAGGGCATACACCTGGCAAACGAGGCACAATGACGAATGCAACATTTCCACTTATTACAAAAAAACGGTCACCACTACCCCTGAAACATCCACTGAGCCATTAAACGGAGTCGCACAGTGTACAAAGACACCGTGAGTGATATGGAAAAAAAATGCTCTATGGAAGTATGAAATAATTTCAAAGAATCACGATTAGAGCGCACTCGCTTATTGCGTTTCGACATTTAAGTCTAGTGTTGGATATTTTCTTCAAAGTAAGACTTCTATTTCTATCGGTTGAAATTCGCTGACCGACCGACTGAATAGTGTGTCGTGAAATAAAAGGCTGCTTACGCGAACATTTTCTGACGCGTTGCAAACGCACAAATTTGGTTTGCTTGCTGTCGGTCGGTCGGCTAATGCGGCTTACATATTTATTAAAAATTCTAATACAAATCAACTACATATACTACATTTTTGAGACAGCAAAACGTTCTTTTTTCAGATGCGACGCTTCCGAGAAAATCACGGTTGATTGTGCTACTGCGTTTGGAGAGAGGTTGTCCGAAATTGAAAACTAATTAATTTGCTAATTGTATTAATTGAATAATAAAGAAGTTTGCATCACATGTATGGTTTCAAGCTTTTCAGTGTGAATTGTTGAGAAAATTAAAGAAAAAAAAATGAATGATGGGTATGGATAATGATTGGCTCGAGAACTTCAGTTCAGTTTTACAACAATTTAAAACGGAAAAAAATTCAAAATCTTTCATTTTAAAAAAATGAATGGTATAAAAATTGAAGGGCAGACAAGGAAGACTTCAGGGCTATTTTCAACGCGCGAGTATGCATTTTTACGTGACTGTGTACAGTGATCTGTGTTCACACAATACGTCACTATCGTTATGACATCGGTCGGTGGCGCAAGTTGTGCCACCGTTGCTCAGCTGGTAGTAACGTGGCACCTTCAACGGTGGCCACACAAGTTCAACTCCTTGAGGGGCTATAACACAACTTGGAGAAAATGATGTTTTTATATGACCCTTGTCAACCTCATTGGATTATAAAATATTAGCATACTTGCAATTTCTCATGACACTAAAACAGCAGAAAAAACAAGAAACCGATGGTAATTTAATACACGATGAGTTAAAAAAAAAGGATTCTGAAACTGTAAAATTTACTCCTGAAATTCTGAGAACAGCATTCCAGAAAGCTCCTGTTTCATGCAGGCGAAGTCGATGTATTTTAAAGGTGGGGGGACAGGAGATTTTACGGGGGATTTTTGGGGCCAGAGTATGCATTTACCGTAACGGTGTACAACGCTTAATGTCACTCTGCGTACAGCTGTCGCCCTCGCCATACTTGTAAAATTCCGGGCCGGCCCGCCAAAGCCTGGGCCCAGGCCCGGGCCGGCCGGGCCTGAGGAAATTTTCAAAGCCCGGGCCCGGCCCGGAAAGCCCGGTGTCAAAAATTCTGTATTTTTGAGCCAAATTTTGAGCTCTCAATATAATTTTTTCCATTTTTTTTTTCGTATTTCGGATTGTTTGTCTGTCTGATCAAAAAAGGTCGAAAAACTCGAAAAAAATTTTTTGTTCGAAGAAAATCACATAAGGGTCCCCCTTATGTGTTTTTTGAAAATTTCGAAACTAGTGAAATGACGGGCCCGCCGGGCCTCCGAAATTCCGGAAAAAGCCCGGCCCGGCCCGCTACAAGTATGGCCCTCGCCTTTATGTATGCTATCGGGCAGCGGCTTTCTCTTTGCCCGCGTAGCTCAGTCGGTAGCGGCGCCGCACCTTCAACACTCGCCTCGACAAGTTCAACTCCTCGAGGAGCATATTTGAACGGAATTTCGACAACATTATTTTTCTCATGTCCCCCCATCTTTAATGGGTTCTCATGCTTTTTTCTCAACTTGGATACTTTCATGTTGAATTTTTTGTTCATAGAAACCGAAGTAACTATAAAAAACCGTTTCAACCTTTCAAAACATTTTCTCTTCAAGTTTTTAACGGATTTTTTCGAAGAAATTTTTTTCTGTTTCGAAGACTGCATATTTTTTTGGGGTTATGCTAGTGCTTTAATGAGTTAATTCTTAACAAAAAATCTGTTTAAAATGCAACAAAACCACTCACAATAAAAAATGGAGAGAATTTGTCATTTTTGAATTAATCATAACTCCTTTTCTTTTCTCCTTCTTCTATCCACCCACTCTCTCGCTCTCTTTTGTTGATCATCCAACAATAACTCATGAGAAAATGCAATTGTTATGACCATGTATAAAAGTAATCGCTCGGAACTGGTTTTGGTATACAAAAATCATTGAATTCTGAAAATTATGAAATTTTCCATTCTTGTCGCCTTTTTTTTGGTGGTCCTGGCGGCTGGAGCGCCAACGTCGACTTCTGAAGTTAAGCAAGAATCTTGGAGCGATAACCATGGACCATGCTCATCTTATTCAAGCGATGTGAATGGAGTTAAGACTTCCGTCAACACTTGTACGGTAAGTTGAAACATTGAAAGTGTGCATTTTCACGTTACGGTGTACTGTAATGGGTGTTTTCACCTTGTGTGATTTTTTGAATTGTACTATCAGTTCGCGACAATGCTTACAATTAGTCTGTAAGGTCCCACAACTGTCAAAAACAGGGCCGCGGTCGGCCACGGCCGACCACGGCTGAGTCGTCATGATATCAAAAAAATCGAAATTCCCGGAACATTTTTGATAATGGAAAATGACTGTTTCAGAGAGAAGTTACCTGGAAATTGAGGCACAATGACGATTGCAACATTTCCACTTACTACAAAAAAACAGTCACTATTGTCCCTGAAACATCCACTGAGCCATTCAACGGAGTTGCACAGTGCACGAAGACACCGTGAGTGATATTCAAAGTTCAATCTATCTTAATTAGAGGGCATTTAACAATTTCATTATTGCCCTTGAAGTCTAATTCTTGATATTTAGTTTAACGGATCATGGTAATACAAAATTTTAGCTCAGTTAGCGTTCTTATTGAAAATTCAAAGTGCTAATCAACCATATCATAATTTTAAAACTGCAAAACATTTTTTCAGATGCGACGCCACCGAGAAAATCACGGTTGATTGTGCTACCGCTTTTGGAGAAAAATTGTCCCAAATTGAATAATTAAGTTTATTGTTTTTAATTGGGTTAAATGAATAATAAAGAAGGTTGCATCACAGTTCGGGTTTCAAGGGGGTCCCATGTGAATTGAAGAGGAAAAATTTTTTTTTCTAAAACTTACTAACGTTTCAAGACATTGCTTCAAGGATTCCGCAGTTCAATATTACAGTAAAATGAAACGGAAAATTCAAAACAGTCCATTCTGAGGGCTTTCATAGAAGCTCCATCGGTGGGCCCACAAGTTCAACTCGTCGAGAGAGAACAAAATTTCGAGAAGCATTTTTTCATGTCCATCGTTTTTTTTGATAAAAATTAACAGATATTGACATACCTGCAATTCCTCATGATACGAAAACTGCAAAGCAAAAACTTGTTCGAAATTACTAGTTGCACTAAATTCATTAAAAAGATAAGAGGAATCCGAAACTGTATTTTTTGAATTTTTGAAACACCATTACAAAAAATTTCTGTTCCATTCAGGCTGAGTTACTGGGTTTTAATGGGGTTTTATGCTTTGTTTTTCGATTTTGGATGCTCTCAGGTTGAGCTTTTTATTTTTATTGTTCACAGAAACCGTTTTAACTATACAAGCAGTTGTGAACAATTTCAACTTAAACAACTCCAAATCAACTTCTTAATTTTTTTAACAGATGATTGCAAAAAAAGTGTTTTTTTTTCTGTTTCCAATTTTTCATAATTCTTTTCAGGGATTTTATCCTCTGTTATTGTTGGTGAGCTTAACATAATCTTAAACAAACACCGGACAATTTATTAACAGGAAAGAAATATGTTCAAAATACAACAATACCACCCACCACAAAAAAGAGAGAGTTTGTCATTTTTGAACTAATCATAACTCATCTTCTTTTCACCCTCTTCTATCCACACACTCTCTTGCTCTCTTTTGTTGATCAGCCAATTTCGGGACTTTTCTGTTGAACTTTTCATTTTTATTGTTGGCATATGAACAATTCGAATTCATTGTATGAGAAACTTCCAATTTTCCAATTTTTATCAAAGCCAACTGATACAGAAAAAAATTCGTTAAAAGACGCATGGTCTGAACATGTACAACTCAATAAAACTGACTGAAAAAATCATGCTCTATACAAATATCGAAACAGTTAAAAATTTTTGGATTGATACACTTATCGTGGATCGTCTATATTTCTCACCGTCTTCTTCACATCTTCAAATTCTCACTATCTTTTTTTTTTTTGAATCCCTTTGAATGGACCCACACAGGTGACTTCAGAGAACGACATTAAATTCAGACTACTTCTGCGTAGAATACGTTTACTGCTTTTCAATTTCCATTTTTAAAAATTTTTTCCATGCTCCTTGCTGTAGAGTCAACAAGTGTTTTCTCCCATCACTGGTACTTACAATAAGTTTATAAGTCTTGCCCATAACGATCACCCCAAATTGTCTCACTGATTCTAACATTCTTTTCCTTCCCTGTCTTCCCGATTTCTCGGGATGGCCATTTTATCTACATACCATCAGCCTCTTTAGGTCCTGCGTTCATACTTACAATGGACAGTCATAATTACGGTCAAATAGAAAATAAATGTCTATTGATTCTGTCTCTGCACATGTAGGCTGGTTGGATGTTCATCCTCCTCCATTTCATTCTTTCTGTCATTCTGTTTAATTTTTGTGGTCCCTAATTCTAAATATCAGTATTGTCGGAATTATAAAACTGCAACGGAGTTTACTCCTTTGACTCTCCTGATGAGTCTACCGTAATCCTTTTTACGTTTCAAGTTACTCATAAGGTACACCAATGTTTCCTTTCGGTAGTTCT